GGGGGGTGGGGGGGGGGGAGGGAGGACAGGCGGGACAGGGGACAGAAAACAAAATAACTTTCTGAAACACAAGAGCAACGCAGACAGGCAACAGCAGGGATACAAAAGCACTCTGAGCACAGCGGCCTTCCAGGACAAACAACATAACACAGCAATAAAGGAGAGGAAAAGAGGGCCGTTTTCCTCCTACGAGATGGGAGGACAAATAAATGTACAAAAATTGTATCATAAACATTTCCTTGAAGTGTTTTTCTTCTCGGTATAAAGACAGTTGTATCTTTGAAAAAAAAATAATTAAAAAAAGTCAGTTCCATTTGGAGAAGAAAAATGCTTTTTCTCTCAGAGTCTTAACTATGAGGGAAACATATTCTGGCTACTTTTTCCCAGCATAAAACATAGGTTGGACACAGCTCAGCCGCAGCGTAACGATGCAGAAAGGCATGGTGAAGATGAACAAATAAAAATAATAATAATAATTAGGCTCTAAAAGCATAATCTGCTGTAAAACCCCTTTTAATTACAAGGTAATTAAAGTAGATTGTGTTACATGCAAAACACCAGCTCTTCAACAACACGCTGCTCTCGTTGATTGACAACCACCCCCAGCCATCACCTATACCTGATGAAGAAAGCTAATTGCCCCTCCGCGCTCTGCGAGGAGGTGAGGAATGCACTGTCCTGGCCCATGGCTACTGGAGGATCTGCCCTCCTCAGCTCCCGCTGTTACCCCAAACACTGTTTTGGCGTTTGAGAACGCCCTGTTTTCCACCAGGATGTGTCACAGCCGTGTTAGGGTATCATCTGTCCAACAGGAGATGCGAGAGGCTGTGTTGGCTACCATATATTTGTTGCCTTGAGTCTTAAGTCATCAGCCTTGCACCAAGTCTCTGTGCCAGGGGGTTAAGAGCACCCAGGAGATCATAGAATCACAGAATGGTTTAGGTTGGATGGGACCTTAAACCCCCCCAGGGCCACCCCCTGCCCTGGGCAGGGCCACCTCCCCCCAGCCCAGGTTGCTCCAAGCCCCGTCCAACCTGGCCTTGAACACCTCCAGGGATGGGGCAGCCACAGCTTCTCGGGGCACCCTGCCCCAGGGGCTCACCACCCTCACAGGGAAACATTTCTTCCTAATATTTAATCTAAACATACCCTCTTCCAGTTTAAAGCCATTCCCTCTCATCCTATGGCTCCATTCTCTGATCCAGAGTCCCTCCCCAGCTCTCCTGTACCCCTTTAGGCACTGGAAGGGGCTCTGAGGTCTCCCCTTTTTCGCCTTCTCTTCTCCAGGCTGAACCCCCCCACCTCTCCCAGCCTGTCCTCCCAGCAGAGGGGCTCCAGCCCTCACAGCATCTCCGTGCCCCAGAGGAACGCTCCGCAGGGAAAGCCCCGGGTGTATCGCTCCCCAAGCCTCTGCATTTGTCTCTTCTTGCATCCCAGAGCATGGCAATCCCGTGCAATGATTTTTCAGCAGCTGCTGAGCTTTTTTTTCTTTTAAAAGACAGACAATGCTTGTGGCTTAAGGCTGAGATGATTGAACAGCTTGAGACAAATACAAGCTCATCTCCTTTGAACGCTGTATGTATAAAGAATTTCTTGTGTAATAGCAGATGAGAAATTAGAGGCTCAGTTATTTAAATTACAAGGGCCTTTTGGGAGCTCATGGGGTGGCATTTGCATCTGATAATACAACAGACGTTTCCAAAGGGAAACGTAAAGAGAGGGTCCAGTATAATCGGAAGCCAATTCTACACAGCCCGGGAGCAGAACGCTGTGGTGGCATCTGAGTGTAGCAGGAGGGGGAGACTGTGTCTGTCTGCAGAGAAATCCTCCAGGATTTCTTCCACATTTTTTCTAGAGCTTGACAACCGTGTCAGGCTGCAGCCTTTGGTGGCTCAAATGACCACAGACCTTTGTTTGCCGGAATTCCTGCAGCTCACACTAATTTAGGACTCGGTCCGTCCCTTACAGGTAAGCGCTGGAGTTGTTTGGGCAGCTCCGTGAACAGACAAATAATATGCAGAACGAAGTACCTACACGCATTCCTCGCCGGTGGCAAAGAGCCTGTTCATGGCATTCACAGTGCTGATTCTCCACTTGTGCCTCGCACAGAGGAGAAGCTGTTACAATAAAAGTGCAAAACACTCCGGACCCCGTCTGCTTCTCGCCTTGCTTTCGGGTCGCTTTAATAGCCTTGCTTCTAATTTAAGCTGCTGCGAGATCAAATTAAGCTCAGGAGGGCCTCGTGCCTGAGTCGCACAAGAGCCTGCTCCCCAAAACGCAGCCTCGCCTCTGCCAGCACACACTACCCCTTCCTCCCAGTCAGACCTTACTGGGAACGGGAGATGGCTCCCGCCTGATGACTGGGGCCCACAGATGCTGTTTCTGCGTTGATTGCTGCTTGTGCCGGTGCTCTGCACACACATCCTCAAAAGAGAGCCCATGCTCTGCAGGACCAGCATCAACCCAAGAACTTCGTGTCCTGCCGCGCTCAGCTCAGTTCCCCTCTGCCACCGTGCCCAGCACCCCGCTGGCACGAAGCCCAGTAGCGTCAGGAACTCGTCCTCCTTCAAGCAGTCTCCTTTCTGGAGAAGAGACTGCTGGTGGCTGGACCTGCCCACGGAAAGGCTCTTCACGTGCCTGGAGAGCCCCATGCGTGTCCTCCTCCTGCCCCCTGAGACGATGCTCTTCGCCAAGGTGACACTGAGGTCATTGGCCATCCTGAGCGTGTCCCACGTGTACACGCTCCGAGCCCAAAGGCTCAAGCTCTCCGGTCAGCACAGCCCAGAGCCAAGGAGCCAAACAGCAGGTCCTGGTCACTGGGTAAATCCTGAGCTGTGGATATCGACACTCACTCAGTGTCCCCGCACAGCACCAGCACGGCTGAGAGTTCCCCATAAACCTAAACCTGGAGCGAACCAAGGCTATTTCCAGCTTTTCAAACTAAGGATAGATCACTTGATATTATGCATTTCCCTAAAGATGGGGAATGCCCCATCTGTGTTGAAATGCTTTCCAGTTTATCCCAGACACATGAACTCAGCGATACCTGCACCAAGATACCTCTGCAGCCCTCAACCCATGAAGCTGCAAAGCTCTGAAATGCTGGAGGGAAAGCAGCCACCCCTCCCCGCCAGGTTAGCCATCTGAGGACCACCATTCCTCATCCAAACAGGTTCCTGTACTATCCTAACCAAAATGAAGGAAGCCACTCTTCTCCCTGGTACAGGTCTCAGTGCTGTCAAGGACAGACACAAGGTGTCTGGAAGGAAAACCCTGCCCGAGAGAGGCCGGGGAAGAGCCATCCCGAGCCACCACCGTGACACTTACTGGTTTTCACCTTGAGGGTGTAAGGGTTTTTCTGCTGAATGGTGTGGGTGAAGTGGAAGCGCGCGTTGCAGCTGTAGTCGGTTTGGGCATCCTGCAGCATGACGTTGGAGAAGTAGAGGTCGCCGTTCTGGCCCTGGGAGACACGCTTGTCCTGGTGGATGGGCTCCATGGCTGCAGGGGAGAAGAGGCACTCAGAGCAAGTCAGATCCTCCCGCGGGCGGGAGAGAGGAGAAACCCCCGAGCCTGGCCACACAGGGGTGCCTCCAGGCTCTGAACTAGCAGTAACGACCCCAAACAGAGTTATTTTAAATAAATGCTGCAGGTGACGGAAAGGCTGCCCACAGGGTCTGAGGTGGGAAGGGGGATGCCCCAACTCACAGCTGCTCATCCAGAAGATGACGGGAGAAGGCAGGCCAGGAGGCGGGTTGCACTGCAGACTGAGCGGAGCGCCTTCATCCACCTCTATCACATCCACCTTCTCCTTGGGCCACAGGGGAGACTCTGCCACAAGAAGTAAAGACACCTCGTGAGGGAGGGAGGGTAGTAACTGTGAAGACCTCTTCCCGCTGGACCTGACCTGGTTTCAATGGTGCGGCCTCAATGCAAACTTAATTTCTACGTGTGCGAGATTCCCTTAAATCTATATTGAGTTATTTCCCTGTTAGCTACAGCCATAACCCCCGTGCCTTCATCTCGGTCCTGTCGCTGGATACATGGCGACACAGGTACCAGATGAAGCAGGCTGAGATGTTTGAGCAGTGGGTATTCTCCACGCCTCTTCTACAAAATTTCATACGATGCAAATAGTCCCTGCTCTCCTCGGGGCTGCTGGCTGCTCGCTCTGCGCCACCGCTGTTACTCACTAGAAACCTGGAGGTGGATTTTGCTGGAGAGAGCAGTGCCGTAGTCGTTCCGGGCGAAGCACTGGTACTCGCCCTCGTAGTCCTCCGGCCGTCCCCCGCTGTGGAAGTCGATGACCAGCGTCCCCGACCGCCGCCGCATGGACACCTTGGGGTCCTTTGCCACGTTGAAGAACTTCCCGTTCCGCGTCCAGGAAAAACTGCAAGCGTGGGGAAGAGGTTGGTTTTGTAACCACCGACCATATTTACCTGGCGAGATCCTTACCTGTGCTGTGCAAGCCAACAGCTGGATTAGCCGGTGGGGTAAACGGCACAGCTCGACCGGAGGGGAGCTCCTCCAGAGCCAGCTCTAGTGAACAGCAGAGCTTCAGCGTAACGAGGGCTGTAGATGCACTTACGTGGGAACGGGGTTCCCTTTGGCTTCACATTCAATGAAGATATTATCTCTTGGGTCAACGATGTAGTCCTTCACGGACTGCTTGGTGATTGTGGGGGGCTGAGGCACTGCAAAGCAAAAGAAAAGCCATGAGGAAGGGTATGCAAAGAGGGGGGAATCCCCTCTCTGCCATCCTGCAGCAGATCCTGACGGGGTTTCAGCTTCTTCCCCAGGCGAGACGTGCAATTTGTGGTTTAAAGCCCTTCAACACCTGAGGAAATTACCACGAGGACTTGTGAGGGATGTACTACTCATCGCCCCTCGGACCACTGGCACTCTTCAGACTCCCTTTCAGTACCAGGAAGCCCATTTCTCGCTCGGTATCTTGGTCTCAGTAAGAAATTTCACAGCTACATCTTCCCGCTACTTCAGGTCGTTTGAATGGGACTGAAGGGCGTCCTGGCTGTGCGCCTCCAAGAGAGGACAGGCAGCCAGAGAGCCACTGGAAGACGTTCACAGGAACTCCCTGTGCAAGAAAGAGGCTCAAAACCTCCTGTGTTTACCCCAAAGGAGCGCAGCACTGGTGTTGAAAAGGGCCGAGCTAGCGATGCTGCAACCGTGTCCCTCCGTGGAGCTGAGCTGGGCACACGCGCTCGTGCGAGGCAGAGGAGCCCCGCTCTGCTCGGATGTGTGCCGTTAGCAATAACAACCCTCCGCAGAAACAATATTTGCATCGCAAAGCCACCGTCTGGTCACCAGCCCTGCTCCAGGGAAGGCGGCAGAGCCTAAGGACTCCTACCCCAAGCTGCTCCACAACCTCCCGTGCCTCTCCCAGCCCCGTGGCTTGTCCTGACTCTGGCCAGCCCTGCCGCAGGAGCGGGCAATGCTGCGGCGGAACCCGTGTGCCAAAGCAATGGCCACCGCCTGCTCGGTGTCACCCCCTGCTCGGTACGGACCCCTCGTGCCCCTGTTTCAGCCATGCAGCGGAGACGGATGCGCACACAACAGAGGGCGAGGGGAACACTTACATTCACTCTGAATATTTGCTGTGATTTCCAAAGTGCAAGCATGATGGAAAAAAAGAAAGAAGGTTAATTGAAGAATAAACCTATATGGCATCACGGACACAAACACGCATAGTTATCGTAGGGCCGGCTTGTGAATACTACACACAAATCATTTTACAGTTCAAGCGTGTTCTAATCTACCTACTTACTGTCCACGTGGGAGAAGCTGCTGCTGAATGGTTCCGTGTGCTGTCAGCTGCCTCTGCAGCAGGGGATTTTAGGCCAAAAGATAGCACAGGGTGCCTGGACGGGCTCCGGTGTGCTCACACCAGTTGCCTGCAGGCGCTGGTGGCCCTGTGGTCATGCAGGTCGCCCACAGGAGTTAGCAGTGCTCCCCCCTTCCCCATGGCCAGGCTTATCCTGAGCACCCCCAGTTTCATCCCCCTGAGTCAGAGGCTAATACGTGCCTGATAAACCCTTTTTAGGTGATGCTAAAACTCAGAGAAGGTGCCCGTAATATAGGGAGATATATATACGTATACCTTTCCTGTCCCCAGAACAGGGGCAGGTAGGATTTTATCCAAAGAAGAAAACTTGTTCGTGTTGGGGCAGGGAAAAAGCACCTGGGCAGGCTCAAAAGAAGGAGCAAATAGCGCAGGTCCCCCTGAGAGAGGGTGAGTGAGGGCTGTGCCCTCTGCCGTGAGGGGACCCCAGGGCTTTGCCCCTGCATCTGCCCTCTCCTGAGCTGCTCCTGCCCTTAAAAAAAAAAAAGTCCAGGGAGCAAAAATGCCACCCTGGGGAGATCTCCCACTCCCAAGGGATGTCAGCGAGGGCAGCACCTCGACATCCCCGGGCTGAGCACACACGCCGGCACTGGAGGAAGGAGCAGATCTCTGTGGAGCAGGGAGGACTTTCCCAGCTGCGGGGGGGCAGAGCACCGGCTCTGAGCACTCACTGAGCCCGTAATTCGCAGGTTTATCAGCCCCGGCACACAGCCGCAGCAGCTGGGGCTGATTACACACCACCCGGGCAGACCCGCAGCCCTTCGAGTGCAGGCGATGCTGCCATTAGCTCAGCCTCCCCGACGAGCGGCGGGTACCGAGCCCTCATCACCAGGTGGCTTAAACAGCAGCTGAAAGCAAAGCCCTGATGGCTCTGAAGGTCGGGATGGAAGTAAACCGATGGTGATGCTCCACGTCTCCGTGGAGGGAGGCTGGGAAGGGTCGGAGAGGCATCGGCAGGATCCCGGACCCTCGCCCGGGGCTGGGAGATGCTCCTCACCCACCTGCTCTTGGCACGGCCGTGCACAACTGCCCCCGTGCACGGTATTTACAAATACCTGTCGTGCAAGGGGCAAGAAAGGGTTCTTGCCGCGCAAGGGTTCAAGAAAGGATGACAAAAGGATGCTCTTAGTTAGGATCCCAGTTTCCCACCAGCACTGGAGCAGGTGATGCTCTTCTGCAGGTCAGTGCTGTGCAGCAGCAGGGAGGAGGAGGAGGAGGAGGAGAAGGAGGAGGAGGAGGAGGAGAAGGAGGAGGAGGAGGAGGAGAAGGAGGAGGAGGAGAAAGAGAAGGAGGAGGAGGAGAGGGCTAGAGGAACAGTGAGCGGCTGAGAAGTGGTCAGCTGCTGCAGGCTGTCTTGAGCATTTCTCCACCAGCTGTCAGCATTTCTCTTGCTTTTCTAAGGTCGCGTTACATTTAAGTAGTGAAATTATTCCCTTCCTGATGCAAAGCACAAGAAATGGCAGAAGGCGGCTGTTTGCAGAGCCGTTCGGTTTTCCCCAGCTGCACTGGCCCCTACTTCCATGCCGACTGCTTGCGCTTCTGGAATATTACAGATGCTAACAAAGCCAGGCCTAAAGGAACCACTGAGCTGCGTGCATCAAATAAAATTCCCATTGCTGGGAACAAGAGCCGCCTGTGTGTGTTTCAGCGCTGACTCCAGGGGAACAGATATTTTCATCCACAATCATCTGGAACGGAGCAAAGCAGAGACTCAGACTCGAGTCCGGGACCCTCTCCCTTCTTTTCAAGTAATATAAGTATTTATTCCCCTCCACAAGTCAGAGCTTTCTCACCCTTTCTCTTCCATTACTTCCAAATTTCAGCCAAAAGCCATTGCCTCAAATTTTCCCATCCCATTTTGCTGCCCAGAGCCAGGGAGCAGCTGAGGTACCATGGCCACGGCCAGCACAGCCCGGACTCACAGCAAAAACCCACAGGGTAGAAATTTCTCCTATCCAAAGCAACCCTGGCACTTCAGCCTGAATTCAGACCCCAGCAAAAAGCTCTGCTTTTTCGACTAATGCACTGCTCGCTGGAGGATTTCTGTGCGTTGCGCTGTCGGAAGAGATTCCCTGCAGCGACAGGCTGATTATTATTAACAGCCGCTCCAGGAGGAAGCTGGGACACAAAGAAATTATGAAACTGGTTTCCAGAACGGTGGCTGAGCAGCTCTCAGTATGAGCCCCCATCTCAAGTGCATTCAAACAAGTCAGGCGTTTCCCACGCGCTGGCCTGAAGATGCCCATTCAGCAGAAACATCAGCCCGTGTCCCCCTTCCTCCTCGCTCCGTATCCCCCGGCTTTCCCCAATAAAACATAACTCCCAGCTCATAATTAACTGAAAAGTCCCAACAGAGAGAATGAGAAAAACCACATTGTTCTGCAGGACCTGCCCTGGTCCCTGCTGCCCTCGGGGACGTGGGTGTCAGATCGTGGCAGCATCTGCCCGAGCAGACGAGCTCCGGTCCTCCCCGCGGGAGCAGCCCGAAGCCTGCCCGTGCTCTGCGGGAGCCCCAGGAGTCCCGGGATGCTCCACTGAAATCAACAGGCTGAAGACTTGCCAGGACCCAATTTCTTCACCAGCTTGGCTCAGGTGCTCTGTCCCATTTTGATATGAGGTTTTGAGTCCTTCGCTCAGCTTTTGAGGTAGATTAACTAAACCGGGGAGTGACTTGGGTGACTTTCTGGAGGGCATGGGGTTTAAGCAGAAAAATAGCCCCAAACAAACAACAGAAAAGAAAAACTTAGGCTGGACCAGCCCGGGCTGTGCACATCTTCACTCTACCTCCTCAACCCTGTCAGCAGGAGTGTTCAGAGGGGTAAACCATAACTTACAGTCCAGAGGGACTTCGATGGCGCTGACGAGGTGATGAAGGCAGAGAGCCAATGCTATTCCTGCGCAGGTGAGGTGGTGTCTTTGCATGACCATTTTGGACGCCGGGGCAGCGTTAGGACCTCAGTTGCGTCCCCCGGGGTGAGCAGACCAGCGGCACGTGCAGACGGATCCTCAGCTGCAAAACAAACACAAACCCAGCGGTCACCGAGCCGTACACAGCTCCCTTTCTGTCATCTTCCTTTTGGCAACTGCAGAGAGAGTTTCCAATCCAAAACTGTTTGTGCAGAGGGAACAGCGGGAGCGAATAGTGCCAGAAATAATTTACAGGCTCTGGTGACCCAGGTACGAGCCCGCAGTCACTGTCCTCCCAAACCCTGGGTTGTCCTGTTGGCAGAAAATCAGCCTTATGGGTTTATTTGTGCTCAAACCCTGGAGAGACCTCGTGGATAGAAGGAGGAGGACCACGGTCTCCCCTGGGACCAATGGAAAGTTATTCAGAGCAATTGAGTACAAAAGCAGCAAACAGTGCCCACCGGATAAAATAAAAAGGATGATCTGCTGTTTAAAAAAATACTAATGATTGTATTTTATGCACAAGAAATACCTAGCAAACATCCATCCCCTCTGATGGGGCACCGGGATGAGCTCTGCCTTCATGTGCAGCCCGGCAATAGCAGGGGGACGGGCTCCAGAGACCCCCTCGTGTACCAAAGAGCCTGTCCCCGAGCCGGCACAGCCTTAGCAGGAGTCAGGACACGGCGGGACCTTTCCCAACCAGTCCCTATAAACGAGCCCGTTTCCATCCGGGCTCCAGCTGCTTCCCTGCCCGGACGGTGCCTGGTGCCAGATGTGCAGCACGGAGTTGCCGGGCTCCCAAAGGCGCCCATCCAAACCTCCCGGGGACGGCCAGGTTACCGTTTGCAATTTCCATACGCATACCTTTTATTTTGCTGTTAATAAACCCATAGACTAAATGCAGATTTAAAAAAAAAAAAAAGAAAAAGAAAAAGAACAAAAAGGAGGATAAACGATCCCATCTGTACAATAAAACCCCCCTCTTGGAAAGGCTGCTGCGGCCCCGAGGTTGCATCGTGGCTGTGTTACAACTCTCTGTAATAGAGTTACAAAAAGGGCATCAGACGTGCAGACAGCTCTTTCGGCTAAGAACAAAAATAACGCCAGGGCAGCAAACAGTGGAAAATCCCCAGCCTTGCTCCGCGCCGCTCCTCCCCGGCCCTCGCACGGCCCTTGGCCGCGGCGGGATGTCGCCAGGCAGGAGAGCTGCGCAGAGAGGCCATTTGGCAGGCAAGGAGAGCCCGTCTTCATGAAATATAAATAACCGGCCGCAGCTTGGGATGCTGCTGCCCCTTCAGCTGCTCCCGAGCCCCGTCCCAAGCAATAGCTGGAGGAGGGAGGGAGAGGGGGGGGCACAGCACAACAGACAAAACCCGGCGAGAGCGGGGCTGCCGGGCGGCTCCGGGTACCGCGGGGAACGCCGCCGGGAGCCAGCGCGGAGCAGATGTCACGGAAAATAAACAGCCCTGACACGTGGCCCAGGAAGCTCTCCTGAAGCCCAGACAGGTTCAAACCCAGCGCAAAACAACTTTTAAGGACACTTCCCCCCGTAACCCTTATGGGGAACAAGATGTGCTTAACGGTGTCTCCATCCATCCCTCCTCACTGTCCTGCTGGGGCGTCATCGGGGTCTCCGTGTCCCCGCTCTTGGGCTGAAGCCCAAAGGAACTCGCTGTCCCAGCATGTCCCAGTTACACCAGATGACAGATTGTAGGTTGTGAAGGGGCTTGGAGGGGAGTGTTGCTTTGATCTTTTTTGCTCGTTCTAAGGATTTTCCAATCCAGCTGTTGCAATAAAAATAGTTGAAGGACAGAATAATTATAGGACTGGGCCAGTAATTAAAGTCATGTCCGGGACTTGTGCAGTCCTGTGATCAGGTCATGCTGAACAAAGCTTTTCAAATTACTTCTTTAGCTTTCTGTCTAAGGGAAGACATCATTTTGATCTGTAGCCTTCATTTTTTAAAGCGGTTCATTTCTCCAGTTACAGCTTAAGATGAGTAATGGATCAGCTGGTTTTATGCCTTTCTATTACTAAGCACAAGTCTGACTTATGAACTGAATCAGCCGACACTGCAAGCAGAGACTCAGCAAGGCTGAGATTTCCAGTGTCCTTTGCTCACATTCCGATGCTTCATATCACTATCACAAAATGCTTTAAACCCCTCTTCATTCACAGATGCACTACGGGAGGGAAGATGCAAGACAGCAGGCATCTAAATAACACACATTTCTACTCGCTGCTCGGAGCCTGAAAAGCGAAGAATATGTTGTTTTCTTTAGACCGGGTACTAGTTAGCGTGAAAGAAACAGCCGTGACAAGAAGGAACGGGTTCCTGGCACACATGCTCGGGAGCTGGTTGTACATATATGCATTTTGCATTAAATGGGAATTCAAAAAGGGCTGAGCCCAAACACTGGTATAGGAACTGGTATACCCAGGAGGGATCTGACTGATGCAAAGGAGTACATCCCACCCGCCATCACACGCACAGGGACCAGAAAAGCAAGGGCTCTGCAGATCAGAAGAGATAAATTTGTAGATAACTTTTGAGCTGCAAAAGGCAGCAGCGGAGTCACGGCAGCTCTGGACCGAACCTATGGGCAGAGCGGCGTGGGAACGACCCGTGGGTTCCAGTGCCGGTGGACCGGTCAGGGAGGACGGCCCGTACGGCACGGGTGACCGCACATCCCCGCGGAGCAGCAGCAGCAGAAAGCAAATAATAAAACCCACGACAGAGCACACACAAAACGCATCCCCGCCTCTAGAGGAGTGAACGGCGGGCTGCTCCAGGGCCCCTTTGTCTCGGGGCAGATGTGGGTGCGACTCGCCGCGCATCAGGAACAATCTGCCGCCGTGCCTGCGCGTGTAGGTGGGTCCCGGGGACAGGCAGTGCCGCGAGCCCCCGGCCACGCAGAACACAGCCCACATTGTCGGGGCTGCTCCTCGCCTGGGGACAGGGACATCTCCCCAGCGCAGAGGGCTGGAGCTGCGGTAGGGGCACCAGCGTGCTGATCTGGGGGCGCTAAGAGCTGTGAAGCTGCGTGATGTCTTCATCGGTTTCTGTGACTGACTCAGACCGAAACGGCCCATGCAAAGGAGCAGAGGAGACCTCTTCTTCGCAGACTTCCCATTTCTTAATCATTGCTCCCGGCCTCGTTGTGCAACACAGAAAAGATCTGACCCCTGCCCAAAGAACGGAACGAGCCCTTCTAAGTCCTATCTGCAGCCCTCTCCCGGGACGGGCAGAGCTGTGGAGGCAGCAGGGTTGAGTCTGGGGATGCTCAGGAAGCCTCGGAGCTGGCTGGACCCAAAACCGATCTGAATCTGGGCCCATAATGCTCAGTAAAAACACAAACCAGGCCAAAATCGCACACAAATAGCTGCAAGATTGTGATGCCGTCAAATAGGAATTTAACTGCTGAAATGTGTTTCTCATCCAGCGTTGAGGCTGCATCCAGGCACCAACAAAAGCCACGTCCCTGTGCTCCACTTTCCTCCAGCTTACAGGCAAGATACAGCAGTGAGACAGACCCAGATGCCTTTTCCCCAAATATTTACCCCGAGTTCAGAAATGTTTTTCAGACTTGTTGGTGCTTTCCCTTTCCCCCATGACCCACTGCAACACCAGTGCTCACAAACTGTTACTCTGGGTTGAGAAACACAGCCCCGAGCTTGGCCCAGACCTCCCTCCAGATGCATCAGATATTTTTGTAAATACATTTTTCTCCGGACAAAAGCCTAAGTAACCCCAGGACAGGACGTTTAAAACTAGAGACCGCTCCTCTTGGCAAAATCCAACCAAATATGCACACAGCACGGGGCGCAGCTGAAATGAAGAGGTGGGTGTGCAACGTTAACTCTGCTCCGTTTGGAGCCTCCCTCCTCTCTCTGAACAGGCACCGGAGGGGAAAAATTAAATGCAAGAAAGACAAAAAAAGGGATGGACACCTGGGGATGACTGAGACACCAATGATGGGACAATTAGTCTCAGGGCTGAAAATACGGATGCTGGGACTCAATGGCAGCAGCGCCTGCCCCAGCTGAGGGCTGGGTGACCAGGATGGGAACTGGAGGGTTTAGACAGGATTTGTACTTTCCATAGAAAAATTAGCCACAGTTTTTATTCTTGTGCAGCAGTCGGGGCAAATCAGATTGAAAGAAAAAGAAGTTTCCAGAAGGAAACATCTTGCTGTGCACAGGCCATCCCGCATCACAAAACACACAGGCAGAGGAGCGAATCCCGGCATTTTGGGGTTTCTGTTCTGTTTAAAGGCAGAGGGTGATTTTGCTGCATTGCCAAATGTTTTCTGAAAAAAAAAATAATCTGGATTTTTCAAATGATAGCGCAGCAGGTAAGCAACTGCCCCAAGGGTCGGTGGAGTCAAGAGGAGGTACAAAGAGTCAAGGGGTATCGGATGCTCGTG